AGACTAACAGAAGTATTGGGAGCATAAGCTTTCGTGGGTAAGAACCTCACTTCTTCAGATGCAAGTAATGGAAATCAATTGCATCTGAAGAAGTGAGGTTCTTACCCACGAAAGCTTATGCTCCCAATACTTCTGTTAGTGCCACAGGACCCTCTGTTGCTCTCTATCTCTAGGCATTTCTCCCACCACCACCGCCAGGCCTCCACAGGAGATCTATCCCATTGGGAAACACACGTACACACACCCCTCCTCCTCCACAGTGCAGAATGAGTGTCACGCAGCACAACACGTGTTCTTTGGTCCACATCTGCCCAGGGACCCTGAGCCTCCCCCGGGCGAGGTCTCAGCTCAATGAGACCTCGCTGCCATAGGTGCTGGAACTGGGGGTGCTACTGCACCCCCTGGCTTGAAGAGGTTGTTGTTATATACAGGCTTTACAGTTTGGTTCCATGGCTGTCAGCACCTCCTCTATACAGATTGTTCCAGCGCCCCTGCCCGCTGTTATCCCAGCTCCCAGCCATGACGGACCCGGGGGCAAGGCTGCTCCTGTAGCTGCCCCCCTTCTCCTCCCCGCCCCAGGGCGCGGGCGCACAGGGCTGCCTACCTGCCCGCGTGGCGGGATGAGCGCCGCGTCTTCCAGCTCCTGCCACCAGCGCTGCTGCTGCTGCAGCCGGCCCCTCTTCTCACACTAACCCAAGCCCGGCGTGCAGCGCAGCGCACACCACCTCGCCCGGCAACTCGGGGGCAGCCCGCTGGCTCCGATTGGCTAGTCAGCCTCATCTGAGCCCGCCTCCCACCCGTTACGGACAGCCACCAGAACCAGTAGGAAAGCCCCACAGCCCCAGCCGCGCAGAGTCGGGCCGGGAGCGGACACGAGACGGCTCAGGCCAGGAGAGTAAGTGACTCAGAGACAGGTGGGGGGATAAGGGAGAGTAAATAACGTGATGGAGTCCAGAGGAACTCATTGAGCCTAAGTCCCTCACCTGCCAGTGTCGTGAAGCTAGTTGTTTTACGACACATATTTCCGGCTTAGCGTAGTTTTACGGCTCCCGCCCTCTTCCCATGGCTGAGCTGTTAGAGGGAACGGCTCTTTATCACTTCCGGTGCGTTGCATAGTGGGAAACTGGAGGGGGGTTGAGGTCAATAGGCGAGAGACCGCGAATGAGGAAGTGTAAGACCCGCAGCGCATGCGTAATAGCGGAGTGGCCTGCTGATAAGATTCAGTGGTGGGACCAAAATCCGCAGGCTATATAGCATATGGGTCTAATTTTAAAAGGTGCAAATCTTTGGTTTATATTGGGAAAGAACACACGTCCCGGCCCAGGGTGGGGGCGCAGGCGCAGTCGGAGGGGTGTGAGCTGCTGGGGGGTCTGTGCTGGGCTGTGGCTACAGAGCGGCTGCGTGGGAAGCTGTAGCGCTGCGCGGTGTGAGCTGCCCCGCGGGCGGGGCGGGGCGGATTCCGGGCCCAGCGTGGTGATTTAAAGCTCAGATTTTCAAATAATGGGTGAGGCAGCGACTCTCTCTGGAGCAGCTTCTGTTGGTGAGAGCTGAGCGCTTCTTCCGGCCCGGGGAAGGTGCCCCACCCAGCCTGGCAGCTGCACGCGCGGCGGGACCGATTGGTCCGCCTGAGTAGTTACAGCGTCTCGCTGAGGGACCATGCAGGGTAGAGTGGCCCAGGGACACTTACCAGATGCTCTAACTACTTATGCTAAACGGTCGGTTCCCCCTGGTGTTTTGCTGCTCCCCAGACCTGAGGAAGAGCTGTGTGTGTCGCTCAGAAAGCTTGTTTCTTTCACCAACAGAAGTTTGGTCCAATAAAAGATATGACCTCACCCACCTTCTCTCTTTAATATCTGGGGACTGACACAGCTACAAGTACACTGCTGTGGACTTAGCATAGACTATGGTTCTGCTTTTGAGATGTGGTGTGTGTTTTAAAATTAAAAAATGTAATTTGTTCTTCTTTCTAAAAGGGGGCCTCCTCCTTCACTCCTAGGAGTGCTTATTATAACAACTGCCAGGGCTGGAAACCCCATTGTGGGGTCTGAAAGTCCAGAGCGATTCTTTTGGCTCATGCTTCATCACTTGTAAACATTTATCTAATTAGAATTTAGTTAACCATTTGGTAAAGTAAGGCATAATAAAATTCATCACACTCTCCCATGTCTATATTGGCTCTGCAGGGCTAATAGCAGAATCTTGTAGATTTTGTCAGTACAGTAAATATGTCTTTGAATGTACAGTGAGCAGATCCAATTAGGGTGACCAGATCACCTTGGTCAAATATCAGGACGTGCGGGGCGGAGCAAAAAAAAATGGCGGCAGAGCAAAAAAACACACGTACCCTCTTTCTTCTCCCTCTGCAAGCGCTAGAGGGAGGCCCCGGAGACGCAGGGGGAGCGCTGGGCTGGGGTGAGTGAGAGTCCAGCCTGGCCCCGAGCACAGGCAGGACTCAGTTGGGCGGTACCTGGAGGGAGAGTAGGGTCCCGAGTCCTGCTGCCCAGGTGGGGAGAACAGCCGCCGCCTGGCCCCGCGGGCCGCCCCCTACTCTCCCTCCAGGTACCGCCCAACTGAGTCCTGCCTGCGCTCGGGGCTAGGCTGGACTCTCACCCCGGCCCCTCGCTCCCCCTGCATCTCCGGGGCCTCCCTCCAGCGCTTGTGGAGGGAGGAGGAATGGCGTGCTTGGGGAAGAGATGGGGATTTGGGGAGGAAGCCAATGGGGAAAGGAGGGGGGGGGGCGCGAGCCCTTCTGGGCTCCAGAGCCTTTGCTTGTTTGTCCAGTGTCCCGACCTAACATTGGTCAGGACGCAGGACAAACAAGCAAATATCAGGACAGTCCCGATAAAATCGGGACGTCTGGTCACCCTAGATCCAATGAGCAATAATTTACCATTTCTACAATCACTTTTCTGACCACTTTTCTGCACTTTGATGCTTAAATTGGCACTATATGCCTAATTTCCCCACATATTGTTGGAAGGACAGACCCCTAAGCATAGCCTTATCCAGCACTGCAAATACCAAAACAACACAAATGATGAAATTCAAAACATACCACACTGTGTAATCCAAAGACATTTGAGTGAAAACACAGGGTGAAATCCTGGCCCTATTGAAATCAATGGGATGTCATAAGTGTTCTGATTTATTTAAATAGGGCCAAGATTTCAGCCACCATTTCTATATTGGCCCCCATCCTGCAAACCCTTAGCTGATATTGCTCTTATGAGCAATCCCATTGATTTTGGTGGGATTACTTATATGAATTAATATTACTCACATTACAGTTGCATGATTGGACCTTAAACTTGTGCTTGTATCTATTAGAATTGTCTTTTCATTTTTTTCCTAATTTCTTTATTTAGGAAACAGCTAAAACATGGCCAAAATGACTAATTTGGAAGAAGCTGAAGTACAACTTTCTGAGTTAGACCTACTTTCTAGTATGTTTCCTGATGAAGATGAGTTTATTGTGACTGACCAGCTGGCTGTAGCAGAACTAAAACATTATATTGATAATAAGACGTCAGAGATCCCATCTTCAAAAGTTCAGTTTATACTGAATATAAAACAAGAGGTTGCTGATGCCACTATGGTAATGTAGCCATATTTTTTAAAGGAAAAAAAAAAGACATTTCAGATCAGATTTTAATGCCCTTTTTTTTTTCCCTTTTCTTTTTGTTTAGGTAATGCTTTCTTTATCCTGTGCTTTACCACTTAACTACCCAGCTGTTCTACCAGAAATTACTGTCAGGTACTGCATATTTCTAGACAGGGAACTAAAAGCTAAAATTTACTAGATCAATAAATAATAGCAAGAGACAGCCCCAAAGAACACACAGTCTTTAAAAAAGATATGCTAACAAGATGCGTTAATATTTTTTCCTTAGGTCACCATCAATAAGCCGATCACAGCAGATTCAGCTGAACACAGATCTAAAAACATACTTGAAGAGAAACTGCAGTGGTGAGGTCTGTGTATTAAATGCAAGAGAATGGGTTAAAGATCATGCAGCTGCTTATATCGATAAGGAGCTTTCATCTTCCTCAGTGACGACATTGAGGACTATGCAGTCAGAAGATGTCATTTTCACTAGATTATGGATCTATAGTCATCACATCTACAACAAGCATAAAAGAAAGAATATTGTTGATTGGTCTAAGGAGCTCGCTCTGTCGGGGTTTAGCATGCCTGGGAAACCAGGTGTCATTTGTGTAGAAGGCCCACAGAGTACTTGTGAAGAATTCTGGTCAAGGTTTGCTTTTTATATACTATATTTTGCTTTTAAGTAACATTGGTGGTTAGAATATTGTGCTTGTTATGTTGTGGTTCTGTACATTTGGTCAGAAGGTGGGCAACTCGTAGTGCTGGTAAAATCAACATCTTGTCTATGAAAAGTATGTTTTATATTTTATCACAATACATGTACACCTCCCACCTTCTGCCACTTCTTATAGCCATCAGGGCCATAAATTAGCCAGCAAGGGGTTCTCTTTGACTAGTGCATGCAGTGCTTTTCTTCTTGCCTCCCCCGTCAGCTCTACGTCAGCTGTGTAGCAAGAGTAGGCTGTACCACCAGTCTTGTTAATATTTTTTATATTGCTTGTATCATTTGTATTTTCGTGTAGTGTAGACTTGGTTCAGCTCTGCCCATTTAGTAATAAAGAAAAAGGGTAAGAAAATTCGTCGCACAGACAAGGTGGAGGTGTGTAGTTATTTTAAATCCCAACTTTATTGACTGTTCTGTGAGGTATGGGTGTAAAGAAACAATGCTCTGGTGCTAGGAATGTTTGCAGGTATGTATATGTTTGTTTGACTGATTGGCTAATGAGCTATAATGTGTATCCCAGGTATCTACACAATTGAAATTTGTCGATTCTCCTCCTTTCATAATCCGCTTCATAACATTTTATAAAATGTGCTACATTTTATGGATTCATATTTCCCTAATTGTTTTCAGAGTCAGAAGATTAACATGGCGGAGAATTTTAATTCGCCATAGAGAGGATATTTCTCTGGATGGGTCACATGCTGAGATGCAAAAACAAAGAAAATTCTCATCTTTTGAAGAAAAAGTATTTGATGCACATGGTACCAGAGGAAATCATATGGATCTGGGGCAGCTCTATCATTTTTTAGATGAAAAGGGGTGTGCTGATGTTTTTCAGATGTACTTTGGAGTTGAAGGATGTTAGATCAGCAAGGATCCAATCAATGAACTTGAAAAATTATGTGACAGTCTTGGATAAATTATTCTTTTCCCCTCTGAAATAGTTGATCAGTGAGGGGAATGATTACTGCTCCTTTATAAGATGAATTCAGTTTTCCATGAAAACGAATATTCTTTTTAATAATGATCTATATGAATGCTTTAATATAAAGATATTTTTAAGGGAAAGATATAATGATGCTAATTACAAAGACAACGACAACAATAAACGAACAACAGCTCTTTGAGAGATGCTGTATGCTATTTATAATCTGAATTATTAAAACTTCACCTTGGAGAAGTTAATTATATCTATGTAATATAGTAAAAAAGATCCAGATGTTTGTGAAAAGTGTTAGTTTTGGGCAGAGATACAGCACATCATATTATAGACATGGGATTATATATGTGTGTGTGTGTGTGTGTGTGTGTGTAAAATATGGAATGGGAAGGGAAGCAAACATGGGTGTGTGATTTTCCAATGATTACAGTTATTTTAAGCAGGCATCTCTGGAAAGAAATGTTGTCTTTTACATTATTGAACACTGTATTTACATACACTACCAGCAGATGTTTTGATTCCAAAACATTTATTTAATATTTGCTGCTTATAATACTTGCAGTTGAACATGGTGCTTTATAAAGATAGGCGTAGATCCTCCAAAGCCTTACTCATACACGTAGTTTATTGACACCAGTGGGACTAGTCACATGAATAAGGACTACTCACACAAGGAAAAGAAGGTTTGCAAGATGGGGTCCACAGAAAAGACACACTTGTTGCCCTAACAAGTTTATAATTGATTATTTCAATTCTATTATTATTTCTATTTTAGTAGTGTTTAAAACTTTGATCAGGATTGGTGCCCCATTGAGCTAGCCACGTACATAACAAAAAGGCGGTCCTTGCCCCCAAAAGTTTACAGTTTGCAAACTCTTTTTTATATAATTACTCCCACTGACTTAAATAGAAATCATATAAATAAGAACTAACACATGAGAGAGAATTTGCAGGATTAGACTTTGTATAATTTTGCATCAGATTTCAATAAATTAATATACATTAATTCATAAGAAAAGACTGAACTCTTTATTATTTTCCCTAAAGGTAGTATTCTACACTGTAACGAACTTTGAAAGTTGTGTACATTTAATAAGCAGTACACACTGAGTGTCATGGATGGTGACATTCAAATCTCTTATGTAAGCAAAAATTGATGAGACAGCTTTTGTGGTGGATATTTGATTTCAGCTCACAACACAATTCTGTTTCCTCTTTCGAACGCTGCTAAAGTATTGGTCTTTAATTGTACTAGAATGGATTTACTTAAGATTTAAAGAGTTATCCAACGTGTACTAGGGAATTACAGTATTTTCAAAAATATTAGTAGAAACCATGGTTTAAAAAGATATTTCAGTTTGGAACTATGTTAATGTAATTATCACAAAGATACAGCAGCAATTACTAAAAATGTTCATTTCCCATTTATCTGACCTCTGCAATCATTCTAATATAGATGTGTGTAACTATTTTTAAGGAATATCATATCAAGCTGTCTTGTTTTTGAAAAAAAAAAAGCACTTCATGTACATCAAAATGTACGTTTGTGCATACTCCTGTTGTAAGTACTTTCATGCATTTATCTTCTGAAAGGCTGTCATGACACTTTAGGAAGCTTTATGGTATGTACTTTCAGATTTCTCTCTTTGGTTGCCATTTAAATTAAATGGCAATAATTGGCCCATTTAAGTAAATTGAATAACTTTCATTAATTTCAGTGGATTTTGGATCAAGCCCTCTATGAAGGCTTAAAGGTATTGAAGGGCAAATAGTGGATTGTAAAGTGTGCAGTTTAATGAAGTGTGACA